CGTGCTCGGGCCACAGTATTAAGCTGAGCTCCAGCCTTTTGCGCTGCGACGCACTATGGGCTTTTTGTGTGTGTGTACCTGTATTCTTGTTATATGTCGTGGCGTAATAAATGGTTTTTCTTTCTTTCTTTCTTTCTTACTTGTGTTGAATGTGGGCATGGAGGTTCTTAATAAACTAATGCGCCTTATAATCTACGACTGTCGTGGGGCAAACGCATTGAGGCACCGCAGAGCAGAAGACGGAAAAACAGCGGAGTTTTTAGTCAGCAAGAGTCTGACGCTCTCTCCCCGATGCCGAGCGGGAGAAGTAATTTGATGATTTTCCCTTCACAAAAAAAAACATCAACGATTGCATCACTCCTTACCATCAGGTAGGATTGCAGTTGAGCACTAGTTTATGGTACCTATGATTAAAACAATATTTTTGACTCAAAAATTGGAACGATAGATTCTTTTTTTTAAAGTAATAGGTCGGCAAACGAGCAGACGCATTACCTGATGGTAAGCAATCAACGCCGCCCATGGACACCCGCAACGGAGGAGTTACGAGTGCGTTGCCGACCTTTTAGGGATTAGGGATTTGGAGATTTAGGGATTGAGGAGGGAATGGGGGAGGGGAAGGATTGGGTCTCCGATAGCCTTACTTACACGGCGAAACACAACGCTGTGGTTGTTTCACGCCGGTTTACTGTGAGACCGACCCATTCGTGCCGAAGCATGGCTCTCCCACACTTAAAATAATGCGCCTTATTAGAATATAAGCACCTTCAACTTGGTCGAAATAAACAAAATCAATTCGGTAAAGTGATTTTTTGTTTAAATAAGCGTGTTAAAGTCAATACGTGTAACTACTGTATCGATTTTAATGAAACTTGGTACTCGTAGACAATATAACATCGACATCAAATTAATAACTGACAAAATCGTTAAGTAACCAGTTATAAACAATTTCGAACGAAAATTGTCTCGCTCTTTGTTTCTTAAAAATCTATTTAGAAAATATTTGTAATTCGTTTTAGACCTTTGTAGCAAAAAATAATAAAAGTCAGCTACTAAAACAATAAAAATTAAAAATCATAATTATTATCTTTGTATTTAAAAATCAATGCTACTTTACGTTGTTATGTTATCTGGTGTAGTATCAGCTCGCCCCCTGGATCTTGCCCCTTCCGATTAAAATGTTCCACTCGCCCCGTTTTTATTAATTTGGAGTTGTAGTTCGCCCCTTACGAAAACCCTTACGGGGCGAGTGAAAAATTTAACAATTAAATAATTATTTTGATGCATCGACTCGCCCCTTGCGGCATTCCCTTTGAAATTTAACTAAAAAAGGTATATTCAGAAAAACGTACAGTAAACAAAACTGGTAAGTAGTTTAACCACTTGTGATAGTTTTATTACCTGGCTTACCTATTGTAACAAAAGGGACCTTTTATGGGACCATTATTAAAGTTTTAAGAAAAAATATTCATTTATATATTTTATAAACTTAGAGTTCTGACAATACTTTTAACTAACCAACAATCGGGGGCGAGTTGGAGTATCTAATAATATAATTTAAGGGGCGAGTTGATGCACTTAGGCAATCAGGGGCGAGATCCAAGGGGCGAGCTGAGCCTACACCTGTTATCTAACTCAGCAATGCCTTTACCGGTTTGGCTAATTTGGTCTTGAATTGTTTGTGAAGTCCAGAAAAGGTTTATCGACAGAGAAAATTAAAAAAGACTTGAAAAAGCATCAAGAGATTTTAATAAATATGTAGGTACAACGTTTCATTGCCAAGAAAAGAAATGAAGGTCTATGAGGGTATTACCCATGACCGAATTCCAAAGAATAATTATTATATTTAATTCGTCCAATCAGAATATACAGGAAGAAATATGAGTGGAATATAAAATTAAAATCCATTTTGTTTCTTGTTTATGTGCAATAATAAATAAAAACATATTATTTGTTCAGGTTGTTTCTTTTAATTATTATCTATTTAAAATATGAAACAATTATCCTACATAACCCAGTAACATATTCTTTTAAAAGACCATGTATTCTCCATTCAAATCTTCAATTAGGAATAAGCACTTAGCTTCATTGACGAAGAGACTGATAGACAGACTATTATTCTATTTTGTTCCAAAGTACTTGAATAATAATGAGTTAAATTAATAGGGTTAAGTTGGAATCAATGTTTGTGAATTTGACTTTGCATAAAGTGTCATCATCAGCCTATAAGTGCCCACTGCTGAGAAAAGGTTTCTTCACACACGTAGAAGGTTCGAGCATTATTCCGCATGCTTGCTCAAGGCGAATTGGCGGTTTCAAACTTATAATTAGAAATTATAAGTCCAGGTATCATCACGATTTTTTCCTTCGCCGTGTGTCAGTTGCATCTAAAAAATTATAGAAAGTACATATAAGTTGGAAAAAGTCTTATTGATAGGTTTTTGCCAGATTTCGAACCCACTCATGCATGAGAAGCGAGCGCCTTAACCTTCCGGTCATCACGATACTAAGCTTGTAAGCCTCTGTTCTAAAACAAGTTTTTTAATGATGGAAACAATCTAAGATAGGACCTGGGATACGAATCACTGATAAAAAATTCCTTAGTGAAAAGTCACTTAGTAAAGTTTTCTTTGAATTGATAAAAACCATTTCAAGCAATAATTAGAAATAGTGATGCATAACAAATTAAATATTAATTTTTTTTGAGCTAAATCAGGTAGGTAAGTATAATGTGCATTTTTATAATAAGTATTTAACGAGCTTTAATTTATAAAATATATTTGCACACATCCGTATCACAAATATTATTTTAGTGGTTTTGCAAAAAATTGTTAAAACATTCATAAAATTTTAAATGTGTCAGCACTTTCACTAATAGTTATAATTTATTTAGTTTCCTGAATAAATAATGACAATTATCGTTAACCGAAACAAAATGTTAATAACTTATTTACTTGACATGATCGTATAGTGTATTATTTTTTTGTGAAGAACATTCTGGCGTTCTTCATGGACTGGTTGTCCATGGTTACAAACAACATTCAACTTAATTCAACAATGTATACTTCATTTGAGCTACATATAAATACATCGATCAAATCATAGCATAAATATTATCTTTATTAATGTGGTTATAAAAATGACTCTTGAATAACAAACGAATTAGCGGCAGTATCATTTATATTGGAAGACAATTTTCTTTAAGAGTAAAAGACAAATGATTTTTTTAACTCATGCAATACTAGGCTCATGATATACCTACATATTATTGTATGTACACCAAGTCGTTTGCAAAACCTAGTTTTAAAACAGGAGTAAAGTCAAAATCTAACATAAATCATTTATTTCAATATACCATATAAACACATTTAAAGAATAAAATGCCAGTCTATCGCTTAATCCTCTTAGTAAAGATATTTATTTGCTCGTTCCAAAGTGAGGATGTCAATGGAAAAGATCGAGCGAGAACCTCCATGGTTATTTTTATTCAATCAGTTTCATATCCTAACATTAACATTCCGATACGACATTCGAACCTTCAAGAAACGACTCCTTGTTTCTAAGGCCGTTAACGCGCTTGTGACTACTCATGTGTCGCAGGCGCCCATAGGTGGCGCTAATCACTTAGCATTGGGTGATCCGACTGCTCCTTTTCCTCCTAATCTATAAAAGACAATAAATAAATATATGTCATTCATTAAACGTGCCTATCACTTGGCTAAACCACACCATCACTGGTACATACAAAGCTCAAGCCATCTGTATCGAGAAGTTGGGAAGTACCTCGATTATTACCGAGGCAATGATCCGTGGACTCCGGTGTATAAATGCCATTAATAATAACGCCCCTCGGTGCGATAAACTCACAGACTATCAAAGCTTTATGAAGTGTATTTGTTACACTGTGTTCTGTGGTATATTTGTACTTGTAATCTTGCTCCCTATTGATTTTCTTGTATGAATTCCTTATTTGTTAATCGTGTAGTGCGAAAATGTATCTATTATGTTGTCGATATGATTTCCAACAAAAAGTGGATAGCGACCTCATTTCTTTTTTAACCTCATAGTTCCATAACACTTCTCTTCTAATGATTCGCTTATTTCGCGTATATCATTTTTTTATTTTGTCAATATTTTATTAAAAATGTATTTACGCTGTTCGACCCTAAACTGTTTATCCAACAAATATAAGTCCTAAACTTGATATTATTCTTTGTTTTAATTAATACAAACTTAGTCTTTTCTCGATCTACAATAAGCTTTCTGTTAAAACTGTTTTTTTGGGAAAATATAATACACGCTCTCTCACAACACAACAAACAATACGCAAAAATATTTTGTTCATTCTGATGAATTTTTAACAGAGGCTACTGCAGTACACAATGTCCCTTATGCTTTTATAAATATTATTTTATGAAGTTCCCGGACGCTCGTTATTTTTATATACACACTTGTGACGTCACCTGTAAAAACATTCATATAGATAGACCGAATTTGAAACAAATGTTATGCAAAATTTAACATCAAGTCGATGACGAAAATGACGCCATATTGTCAAAATACATGTTCAAATACTTTCAAAAGAATGTTGTTATGTGAAAATGATCGCTTGACACGAATTTATCAAACAATTTTAATCGAAATGCTTCGTCGCTTGAGGTAAAAAACGTCCCTTACCAATGTTTGAAGGTCAAATATTTTAAACTCTGGAACAAAATATTACAAAAATAAAATTGGCACATTCACGCGCTGCTAACATCCAGCTCGTTAGAAACCATTGTTCAATAAACCAGTTATGGACAGATTGCACAATGTCATTGTAATGCGAATCACCTCCACAGTTATAACTATTACAAATTGTTTTACGCAGGTGAATCTCTTTGAATGCAAAGAATCGTAATGTTGTTATATAAAGACCATCTGCGCTACTATTAGTCACGAATGCATATGGTCGCGCCGGCTGGTCAAATGGGAAACTGTGTCAGTGCGAACATTTGTTACTTGCACACACGTCACAGATTACGTTGTCCGATACAAACACCGCTCGTACTACTAGGTTCAAGGGGAGCCAGCCAGATCGCCGTCTCGTTCGTTCACTATTTATAGTTCCTCGACTATTCAGATATTTGCGCTCAGTGCAGAAATGTCCGGAGTCGCGAACGACCAAAAACCCGCGCGGCCCTCCCAGAGTGCTTCCCGGAGGAAAAGCGCTCGGGAGAGGAAATTGCGCGCTTGCAGCGGGCCGACACTTTACCCCAGTGAAAATCGAAGCTGCGATCTATCTGTGACACGGACAAATTAAAACCATCGACGGCGAACTCATTAGACGGTGCAATCCGCGCAATCGACACACACGCGAACTTATGCAACATTTTTCAACATCAACCGCCTGCTTACACAGTGATGTTCAGTGATCATTTTACAGTGCGTGAAAGTGACCGGTGTGTTGTGTCTTGTTCAGTGAATTAACTCCTAACCACGTTACGTTATTTATTTCTGTTCGGAAAACAAAATTGACATTGGTGCTATTTTGAAGTGAATGCCGGATTGTTTTGGTTGGCATGGCGCCAGAATGTACAAGAACAGCTGACTGTAAACAAACAATTTGCGTCTTGTGGACAATAGTTTGCATAATATTTTAAATACTTCCTGATATTACATTGTAATCTTCAGACAAAATACTTAAAATGGCGGGCAAAGACGATTCCAGTGATAGTGACGGTCCTATAATTGACGATAACATTATTCGAATACAATTAAGAAAACCAAATCAAAGAAAATGGGAATTACGAACTCGAAATCTTTCCCCAGGGATGAAATTTCCAACCGTACAACTTTTTGATTGCGATGGAAATCTTCTCGTTGAAACAAACGATGAAAATATTTCTATTAAAAGCTCTGACTTTGATGATTGTATGTTGAAAACATCTCAATCAATGAAAGAAAAAGATTTCCGACACATAATAGCCAGGAAACCTGTCAAAAAGCACAACACAATTTCGGGAGATAAAGTATACACTCGAGTTTATCGGACTCCTGTAAACATAAACGATGACATAAAAAATAATAATGAGCGGTACATAATACGAAGCAGTAACAGTGTGTCAAACATTCCAAGTAAACTCACATTAAACAACTTTACTAATTTAGAAACAAATAGCCTCCAGACCAGCCCCTTTCACTCGGAGGGTCTGAGTGAAATAAGCAGTTACAAAAGTTCTGACAACGAAACTTGTAACGGAATAAATCAATCGCCCGAGACACATAAAGAAAATCTGGGAAACCATTCAGAGAATTTAATCGAAACTCCGAACAGTCCCTTTTCGTCACTTTCTTCATTAAGTGACATTAATCAGGTAATCGATGACATTTCATCTAATAAGGAAAACGAACCTGATTTGGTACTTCATAAATCTCGATCTTTCAATGATGCTACGCTAAGCGGGTGCGCGAAAGGATGCGAAAACGATAATTTGCCGCGTTCTAAATCCGGCGTTGTGTACAATCCCCCACACAATAAAATATCTTTCCTGAACACTTACTTAAAAAGCTTACGAGCTCGAGTGAGCTCTAATCCGGATTGGTTCGCTCTACATCGCCGCCGAACAATCGAATATGCTCCAAATTCACGCGCGGCACCTAAGCGTCAGGATTTTTCGAAAATTGCCTTTGAAAAGCGTCCTACTTGCAAAATAGGAGATATGACGCCAGACAACGAATTAATTAATATAGGACCGGACGATGCGGTACATTCTGAAATGAGGAAACGTTTGAAAATGTATAGACGTGGTATATCAGAGATCGCGCCTAAGCATAGGAACACGGGGGTATTTACGAAAACGAGAAGACATTCTGTGAGTGGCACGTTTCAAGTCGTTCATACTTCCTCCTCGGAGAGTGTGGATGAAGCTGACGTAGTACTTAACCGCTTGAAGAGGAGGATACTCAGGAATAAGTTGAGAGAGAAAAGACGGAGCCTCGGCGCAAAGTTTCAATTCAGTAAGTGCCTACTTTACTTTTAACACTCTTTTAAAATAAACGTGAATGCTCTTTATAAAGTGTTAACAAATGTTATTGCATAACATTTACATTCCTGAGACAAAACACGTTGCAAATTCGTTTTACGCGGTGTGAGCATGAATTTTTATTAGCACAGCCCGTTACACATTCCAAGTCATTGGAGAAATAGACTTTATTCCAGATCCGAAAATATTCTGTGCTATTGAATCGTTCTATTTTAGATAGGTCGTATTTATTTTCACATTCGTGTGTTATAAAAAAAGAAAATGTTGCACGTTCAATAAAGTAACATTATCATTAGAGTTAATCTTACAATTTTGTTTGCATTTATTGTCAATTTCCAGAAAAAATCCATATGTTTGTGTGCCTTTGTTTTTTATATCTAATTGAGTCTGTAATTTACCAAAATTAAAGTATTTATTTAGAACTTCATTTGTAACTTTTGCTCGATTAGTCTACCATTATTTTAAAACATACAATTCCACATACACATCACACCCAGACACGAAACAACAATTTTTGGATCACACAAAGAGTTTTTCCGTGCAGGAATCGAACCCGCGACAAGTTGCACGGCAGCCGTGCCAATCATTGAATGTTACACAATCTTGTCAACATAATTATTTTCAACTACACGTATCGGTATTAGTTAGACAATTGAGTGGTGATCATTAAATGGGTAATTTCAAAGGAGAGTTGTTGGCTAAAATTCAAGTCTGTGAGTAGATATTAGCTAGGTTTATAGCGGGTAGCTAGGTATAAATAATATATATGTATATAAAAATTTCGTGTCACGTGTTTGTCCGCGATGGACTCCTAAACTACGAAACCGATTTTACCCTGTATGTACTATATTTCTGATATTCGTTATTTTTTTATTCTTAAAACTAGGATTATAATTCGACTGCTGCTCACGATGCATGGTTGGCGCAGTAGCGGGGTATTTGGCGGCTTTGTAACGTGTCGAGCGTCCGATTTCCGCACGTAACAATACTACGTGTAATCCACTAATATTCGTTTGCCCATGTTTGTTTAGATTTAATGTGTAGGTATCTAAATTTGTTTTTGTAAAATCACCCCTGAAACAGGAGAAAATACAACGGTTAAAACAATAAAACACCAACTTGCATAGTTTCTATATTAGAACCACAATCAGTATATGGAAATAAGCTCAGACAGCAAACGTCCATCTTGCAGGTTAATTATTAACTTTTATGTTTTTACGAAACCAAAAATCTTTTACAGTGGGACTTTTAAAATATTGCATTTCATTGCGCATTAAAAGAATTTTTTTTCGAAACGAATAATTATAGTGAAATGAAGTGAAGTAAGTATTTCACTTAATTTCAACAACGATGCCAAACCCGTTACAACTCCAGGTAAACTTAGACTACGCATGGATATCCAATCACCTCAATAATATCAAACCTCTACTTTTTGAACCTCCTTTTTCATAAAAACCTTCTCCTGATTATTGTCAGGACCACTAACAGAAAAGAATCATCGAAATTAAGCTTCGTAAGCTCATAACTGAACAATAACTGAATTAAAAAAATAAAAATTTAAAGCGACTCGAACTCTCTTGATTTCGAAATAATTTAACACTTCTTTTTGGTTATAATAAAACTCATAATAATAGATACTCATCATCATCATCATCATTAGCCATAAGTCCACTGCTGAGCAAAGGCCTCTTCTCACACGGAGAAGGTTTGAATTTATAAGTCCAGGTTTCCTTACGATGTTTTTCTTCACCGTATGTCAGTGGTGTCTAAATGATCGTAGAAAGTTGGTACACATAACTAAGAAAAAGTCACATTGGTACTTGCCAGGTTTCGAACCTGCATCCTCTTGCACGAGATGCGGGAACCTTAACCTCCAGGCCACCACCACGATAACATATTTATGTTACAAATATTACCAAATCTAAACATGAATTCCAATCTAGAAATCACTTCCAACTAAAAGATAAAAAAGTTAACATTTCAGGAAAAACTAACTTTACCTACTAACAAAAGAAAAAACAGGTAAATAAAAATATAAAACTTTTGTGTAGGACATAAGGTCGAAGTCAAAGGGCGAAGTTATGTAAATAGAACATTACCTTCTATTATCTATGATTTATTGCTGACTGTCACTACAGCCTCGGATTACTGGCCTTTGTACCAAACTACACGGTAACTTTATATAATAACAAGTTACCTTTTGTGAAAATTCAGGTTCATTCCAGGCTGAAATTACCATTACTAGTACCTATTACGAAAATATTTTATTCGTGTTTATTTAAGGGCAGGGTTAAATATCAGTTTTTTTTCTATTAACGATCACGTTACTAAAATTTTTTTTTAAATAACGTATTTATAGTGGCCGAAGGGTAATATTGTACTTGACTGAAATGTCAAACTTATCGGGGGTCTTTATAGAAAAGTTAACTTTTTTGTTTTGTTTCGCCGTGTGAGTGAGGTTACCGGAGGCCCAATCCATCCCCTCCTCCAATCCCTCCTCAATCCCTAAATCTCTATATCCCTAAGCTCTAAAAGGTATTTATCCTTTTTTTACTTTTGTAAACACAAAAAAGCTAACGTTTTAATGTTTCAGATTCGTAAAAAAATTAACCATATCAATAACACACGCAAAGTTATTACAAAAAGAAGATTTATTTCATTTAAAAGTAGTTTTTTATTATTATTAAAAAATCGTCATTTTTATTATTATTAATAAACATCACGACCTAATAACCTATTTACCATCAATTAATACGCTATATCAAAATAATCGCTGACCTTGTATAAATTACCTATTCGAAAAAAAAATATATCTACTAAACTTCCACCAGGGACTTTGCCCGCGTTCAAAAAGGTAGTTTCTACTTGTATCAAAAATCGATCTAACGTACAAACTTTCGCGTTTATTATATAGGTACGTGGGACCAAATCATTCAAATAAGTTTTTCCATAGCCACACACACAAATATGTCTCAAACTACGGCATTATGCCTAATTCAACATGTCATAGGGAAATATAGGCCAAATAGATGTCCTAAATATTCCTTTTGTAGGCAAAACCGGCTTTAAACCGTGTATTAGCATGGCTGAAACAGTCTCAAGTGTATGAATATAAACTGGTCCCTTTATGTGCGTACAATTTGTTCACTTAACTAAGCGTTCTAGATTAAAAACTTATATAAAACTTATTTAAGTGTGGGAGAGCCATGCTTCGGCACGAATGGGTCGGCTTGACCGGAGTGATACCACGGCCTCACAGAAGAGCGGCGTGAAACAACCACAGCGTTGTGTTTTGCCGTGTGAGTGAGGTTACCGAAGGACCAATCCTTCCCCGCCCCCAATCCCTCCTCAATCCCTTTTCCCTAAAAGGTCGGCAACGCACTCGTAACTCCTCCGTTGCGGGTGTCCATGTGCGGCGCTGATTGCTTATCTTCAGGTTATCCGTCTGCTCGTTTGCCGATCAATTACAGAAAAAAAAACGTACATATTTTTATTATAATTTTTGTTTTCAATACTATCGATTATTAAAATAAAATCACACATCTATCCATTGATTGGACGATATATTATAATATTAGATGAATCTAGCTATTAGCTACGTGATATGTAGGTAGCGAATTCATTTACAAATGTAGGTATCTACTAAAAGTATAGTTTTTGAGTTTTCAATAAAATTATTGAACTTGACAAATTGGAAACTAAGTATTTTCTAAATTATCATATCACACAAAAAAATAATGAAACATAAGTTTGTTGATCATTCTGATGATTAAAAGAAAGAAAATCTATGACAAAGACAAAGTGTGTGGGAGTGCCATGCTTCACGTTATCAATCAGGTCGAGCCGGCACCCCCATCTTAAATCCTTTCCACCCATCCTCAATCCTCAAATCCCCTATCCTTCAATCCCTAATAACCCACAAGAGGTCGGCAACACAGTTGTAAAAACTCCTTTGGTGTTGCAAGTGTTCATGAGGGGCGCTGATTGCTTACCACCAGGTCATCCGTCAGCTCGTTTGACGACCTAGAACATAAAAAAAAATTCAACAAAGTTAAACACGAAAAGATGGACGCATAAATAAAACATATTTATCTATGCATAGCCGAGAGACAAGCCTAGTACAATTAACTTTATACAAATACAGTAGAATTGATTTCTGAAATCACAAGACAATCCTTGGAAATAATATAGGGAAATAAGTGTGGGAGAGCCAAGCTTCGGCACGAATGGGTCGGCACGACCGGAGTGAGACCACGGCCTCACAGAATACCGGCGTGAAACAACCCACAGCGTTGTGTTTCGCCATGTCAGTGAGGCTACCGGAGGCCCAATCCCTCCCCCTCCCCTATCCTTTCCCGATCCTTATATCCCCTACCCCTATCCCCAAAAGGCCGGCAACACACTCGTAACTCCTTTGGTGTTGCGGGTGGCAATGGGCGGCGCCGAATGCTTACCATCAGGTAATCCGCCTGCTCGTTTTCCGACCTATACCATAAAAAAAAATTACATCTAGGCATCTGACATACAGTTCAGCTGTAATTTACTCTAGGCACATGTTAATAATTAAAATCTTAATTACCGGCAAGTCTTGTTTTATCCTTTTGTGACTTAATGAACCTTCTTCTACATCATTAACCTTACTCAAAGTCAAAAGACATGACACACACACATAATTATTAATGTTCACATTACGCGAAAATCAATTTTCAGCTTTAACAATTAAAAAACTGTAAGTTCTCATGAGTTGGTTTCATTAAAAAATATAAATAAGTTTTTTTTTTATTTTAAATAAGAGTATAATATAAAATGACTTTAAACTTAAATTACTTAAACTCATAGAGAAATCAGACAACATAATCAGACAAAATTTGACAAAACAAACAAAAGCCAAGAAATTGAATAAAAAAAAGAATGTACTTTCATGTTTTGAATCTTCTACATTTTTTAAATAACACAGAGGCGACATCTATGTTG